CATTCCATTTCTTTCTAACAAGACCTTACCCAAGGTCACCTGGCCAAGACCCGGTGGCGCCCAGGCTCACAGCCTACCCTCATCCGGGCTCGTTCACTGCGGACCACGGACTGGAGGCCACATGTATAGCTCTCCTGGTTCAAGGAGCCGGGAGATCTTCCAGGAAGGCCCAGGGGCTGCCATCCCCTTCCGCCCATTATTCTAAAACATGTATTGAGTGCCGTCTGTGCGCTGAGCCGCGTGTAAACAAATTCCTAGCGGCTAACGCTCCTCGGTTCCAGGCATGGAATAGCCAGGCCAGACGAGGGACGGAGCCGGTGTGCATCCTTGAGCTTCGGTGGACTCCACGCTACCTGATCTTTACCAGCTGAGTTGTGCCTGCTGCTTGGCCTCCGGACCCCATCCCAGCTCCACCCAAGTCCCCGAGACCCACTTCTCACCAAGCCCTGGAATACAGGGTCCCACATCGGGACAGATGGGTCCCAATTTCCCTCTCCCAGCAGCAGCCTCTCTTCTGGGTGCTTCTCAGGGAACCCCACTCAGCCAGACAGGCCGGGCTGTGTCTCGCTGCCCGGGACTCACTGTCCTCCCCGGCCCAGCCTGGCCACTGAGCCAGTGCTTGGCTGGAGACAGAGCATTGCCTTTGTTTGCTGCTGCCTGACGATTTATTTCTGAGGCTCTTGGGAGGCTCAGCCATTTTGCTGGCTGCGCTGGGAAAAGGTTCCTCTCCTGTCTCCCGGGACTGGCACCTCTCAGGGCACCGCTCACCCCCCTCTGCCGGGGAGAGGGTCTGAGGCCGCTCTCACTGGAGCCGATGGATCTGACCAGGGTCCAGAGAGAGCAAGCTCCGGGGAGAGAGAGGAGAGGGCGTGCAGTTCCCACGGACCTTCTTTGTTTTGGAATTTGGGAGTGTGTGATGAACACGTTTCCCCAAAGTTCCCCGAGACAGAGAATCCTGGCACGATTCGCCTGTTTTGGGTGTCGCGGAAAAATGCAAGTTGATCCCAAATTCCACTGTGCCTGACCCAGTCTCTGACTTGGGAGTGGGGGGGGTGTCAGCCAAGCTCAGAAGCCATCTTAGCCCCCTCCCCCAGTCCCTCCCGGGAGGCCGCTGAGCTCCTTGGAGAGGGGCTTAGTACTCCAAGCCTACACCTGAAGCAACACGGCTTTATCCTTTCTGGTTTTTAAAAATCTGGTTTTCTCCTGGGGGTCCCCGACTGTTTGGAGGATGAGATCAACTCAGTGCTTCTGCGGGGACTGCCCAGGTTGGATTCTTGGTCTGAAGACCCAGTCAGGCATAGAACAGGACATCTGGGGGTGCCACGC